ACCTATTTGAGTGAAATCGTTTGGGTGAAGCTTGTGAACTGAACACCTATTAAAATTCAGCTTGTCGAGACAGATAATTGAATGAAGCTTGGAATGAATTAATTAAAAAATGAAATAAATTAAGACAATACGACAGAGCAAAATCTAGCATTTAATCTTTCTTGCCAAGCGGCTTCATTCGGGTCCTCCAGTAAGGGGGGAAAAGTCGCGTCTACTAGCACAGGAAGTCGCGATCCAACCGCAGGTTGGTTTCAGCGCACTTAGTCGTCCCGTAAGAAGCTGCTGCTTGGCTAACCCGCTCGCTGCTGCAGTGCTCAGTGTCGGTCATGTATCCTGCGTGGGCTCAGAGTTCCCCCTCCTTTTTGGGGGGAGGTGCCCTCTGATCCCGCTCGGGGTTTATTCCCTTCGCTCGCAGCCCACTTGAACAATCAGCAGGCAGATTTATCGTAGAATGAAGATCCAGCTTGACTCTAAGGACGAGGCAACTCAAAATGGGTGTTAGCGACTCCGATTTTGATGATCGTATACGATTGACCAGGCCTTCGCCGCAGGCGGGTGCAAACCGTCGGGTATCATGTACGGCTGCCCGCGAGAGCCTTGACAAAATCAAAGTATGTTTGATAAGGCGTTGGTTCGGTCGGTCGAGGTCGCTCTTCGCGAAAAAGAACGTACGGTACGGACATTTAGCGTAGATAAGGAGCGCGGCGATCGGCAGTGAGGTGAGGCGAACGACGAAGAGCTAGTGAGTGGGTAAGACAAGGTGTAGCGCAGTCTGGTCAGCGCATCTGTTTAGGTTCGAATCCTTTCACCTTGGTGTGGCTCATTTTAGTAACAGTTCCCTACATGATGTTATGAAACCCTGGATTTTTGGTTTAATAAGTACATGCTCATCCAGGTGGCTGCGTAGAAATTTTCATAATATGATTGATTTCGATCCATTTGACTGCATGCTTCTTACTGCTTTTCTGTTAGCTTTGATCTTTATCTATCTATGGCTTTATTGGAGAGGGAGAAAGATGCCCTTTCAATTGAAGCATCAACCTGGGAGCATTCGCCGATCTGGTACATCAATACATGTTCCTATGCCCATTCCAATCTTGTCTAACATTTCTCACTTCCTCTTAAGACGAATAATAAGAGCAATGAAAGTGTCTTTTTCGAGCGCCGCTTTATTCCACCTTGTCACTTTTCTTTTTGGCTCGTTCGGATTTGTAGGATTATTTATGAATCCTAACGGGCCAAACGCCGAGGAAATAGTGGCTGAGGCTGACATGGGCTCGGTAGAAGACTCTCACAACGAGCAAGCCGGACCAAACCTTCCCCAGCTACGCCATGAAGTAAAAATGTGCGAAGAGTCGCAAAGGGATAGCGAACGTCTTGCTCAAGATTCCTTAGAACGAGCGGACGCTCTGATCGAGGAAGCCAACTACCGAAGATCTTTGCCCGATCAGGGACCCGCGTCGCAAGAACACAGAGAAGAGCTGCTTGCCGAGGCTGGGCATGAAATCGACTACGCCGAGAGTGACCTAGAAATGCTCCAGGAGCTCGCCCAAGACAAGGCGGACGCCATAAGAGCGTATAATGAGGCACTCGGCGCGGAATATAACCGCCTCCGCGAGCGAGAGACCGCCCTGCGAGAAGCAAACGAGCGGCTCCGGTCCCAACTAAAATAAAGCTTTGGGGTGGGTTCACTTGGACTATGCAATGTATGGATGATCTTTTATTTATTTATAGGAGATCCTGGTCCTTTATTTATAGTTCTTGCATTAACCGGTCCGGAATTAGGTGTAGCTATATCACAAGCTCAT